TAGGTTGTGGTTAATTGCCTGGTTATGCCATTTGCCTTGCAAAACTCCCCAAACTCATCGGAGGTAAACTCACCACCTTTATCAATCCTCAAACATTTATGGTAGGCTGCTTCCTTTTCAACATAAGCCTTATAACTTCTAAATATGGTAAAAGCCTCTGATTTTTCATGCAATAAGTAAATCCAAGTCTTACGACTAAAATCATCGATAAGACTCAAGAAATACCTCTTATTGCTATTTGATGCAGGCTTTATAGGACCACATATATCGACATGCACTAGCTCCAGCTTCTATGATGTCTTCCAAAGACTTCTTTTTGGAATGGATTCCCTGTGCTGCTTTCCAACCAAACACGTTGTGCATAACTTTGTAGGTGTTTTAAGTGAAGGCAAACCATTGACCATCCTTTTGTATTGAAGGGTTCTCAACCCTTTGAAGCTCAAGTGTCTGAATCTGCAGTGCCATAAATAACTCTCATCTTCTGTCACGGCTTGAAAACAGTTAGTAGCTTTAGGCATCATTGCTGCAAGCACAACAAACATCATGTTTGCGCTCATCTCGGACTAAATAATTAGACCCTTACTAGGATGAAAAACTTTGCACTTCCCCTGTTGAATCATAATTGCCACACCTTTTTCTTGAAGCTGCCCCATACTTAACAGGTTATTTTTCAACTCAGGAATATAATAAACCTCAGAAATTACCTGAGTGACTCCATTCATTTGCATTCGAATGTTTCCTTTCCCCATAACTACCATCCTTGGGTTGTTGCCTAGTTTCACAGTTTGCCTGAATTGAACATCCAAATCCAAAAACCATTCTTTGTTCCCACTCATATGATTACTACATCCTGAATCGAGGAACCAAACCACTTCTCTCTGAGCATGGTTAAGCTCTACATAGGACATTAATAACAGCTCTTCTCCTTTGTCTAGTTCAACTTAGTTGGCTCTATTCTCCCAACTAGGACACTCATACTGGAGGTGTTCTAATTTGTGACACTTAAAGCACTCGATAGTAGCCTTGTTGAAAGGTTGTTTGCCACGACCTCTTCCTCTTCCTCTGAACACCCCTCAACCTCTTCCTCTGCTAGTGTTGTCTTCATGAGTCACCTTGAGAACCTGCTCCTCTCCATGATGGTCATTCATTCTTTGTTCATGGACTAGCAAACTGCTCTGCAGCTCGTCAATGGTCATTGTGTTCAAATCATTGGATTCGTCAATGGAGCAAACCACATAATCAAATTTTGAGGTCATGGACTTCAAAACTTTCTCATTGATAATGGTTTGGCTCATTGTCCCACCATGAACCTTCATTTTGTTGGCTATAATGAGAGTACGAGCAAAAAAATTATCAACAGTCTCACCCTCCTTCATGTGGAGAGTCTTAAAATCCCTCCGAAGTGCCTACAACTGTACCCTTTTCTCCTTAGAGCCTTGGTATTTATGTTTCATTGAGTCCCAAATACCCTTTGATGTGTCTCTGTCAAGTATAGTCTCCAAGATATTCTGGTCTATAGCTTGAAAAAGGTAGTTCTTTACCTTTAAGTCCTTCAGCTTCTGCCCCTCGATCATTTTGTATTGTGCTTCTGCCTGGTTCTCGACCCCTTGTGTCACCACCCCCGAAATCTCATTCTCTATGAGATCCCAATATTCCTTGGAACGAAGAAAGTTCTCCGTCAACATCGCCCAATGATCATAATGTCTATCAAATTTGGGAATGGCCGACTGCACAAAACCACTACTATTGTTTTCCGCCATTGTGTTTGACTCCCTTACTCTAAAAGAAAACTGCAGTTTCTTTCCACACACACTCACAATCAGGACCTGTGATGGAGCTCTAATACCAAATGCTAAGAACACTCAGAAGACATTTAGCACACACATGAAAAGTAGTTTTATTGATAACAAACTGCAGGCATATATAGCCTTTTACAAAGAGATAAAATTGAAATAACAACTCATGTTTTCAACATCCTAAACATGGTAACAAACTAAGAGAAATTTGTCAAAACACTAACCACTATTTCCTAAAGAATAGGACTTATTAACAAACTGAAATAACTAAAAGATCGAATCTAACAGTGATATCATCATTGTAATGAATATTTTTTCAGCAACCAGACCCTCCACATCTCTCTCTCTCCCTCTCACTGTGTTCGTCAAGTGTCTCTCTCTGTCATCCTTTGCTACTCTCTTCCCTTTTCTCTTTTACACCAACCTCCACCGATGGCCACCAGTCTCTGTCACAAACGCCACTAAACTTATTAATCCCCTACATATCATTAATAATTCTAAATTCAATGAATTACACTCGCCAACTATTCGACCAAATGCCCACAAAAGACAGTCATATGGACGTCCCTCATCTCACTCAGCCTACACTCGCTCTAACCACTCCACTAGACCTTCAAAAGTTTCCCACAATACGTTTGTTCGATTTGTTATTTTATTTTCTTTGTTGCGGCCGATTTCAGTTGTCCTTCCAAGCATCGGCCTTTCTTTAATTTTTTCATTGATTACCTTTCGTTTTGGTGATTGTGCACGTAAGGCCGGTTCTCAATGGCCTCTTCGGATCCATGACATATGTACACAAAGTAGCTTCCTCCGATGTCATTATGAGATTGTTATTGCTATTAGGAATTTCATGGATGTAGTTCTAATAAAGAAATTTTTGAGGGCCTTTTGAACAACCGAGATTTTTATTTTTGTTTTGTTTTTCTTGATGATTTCCGTTTGTTCTTCTTGGTATTATGTAACTAAAAACCAAATTTGTAGTGGTTGAGTCTGACATTTGATAATGTAAAAGATCTCAGGTTCAATCCCTTATTATACCCCCTAAAGGTTTTTTATGGACATGTTTTAACCCAGTTCAAGTCACAGTGGCCAACCGCTGAACCCGAAAGAATAGTCGACACAAGTCTAAACACTTGGTCGCAAAAAAAAAAAACTAAATACCAAGCCACATGCAAGATATTTTTGTGGCAGCCAAGACTAATTCAAGGGAGGTTGGTCAAAACAAAAAAAAAAAGAGAAAGAAAGAAAAAATTGTTGGCAATTTATGACAAATACGAGGTTTTGAATTGAATCTGGTAGGCCATTTCACAGTTAATTTTTTATGGGCCTTATTGACCTTGACTGGGTTTCAATGGGCATTGTTGACTATTAATGGGTTTGGTGTGACACTGTCTAAGCCTGTAAGATTCGTTCAGACCATTACTTAAAGCCTGTGAAGAACAGAGGGGAAACCAAATTAAGGTTTATAAAATCTCTTTTATTAATTTATTATTAATTACGAATACTCTCAAACTATAAACCTCTGGTCCAATCACTTGTAAATTACACGAATTGGGAAAAAACAACCTAACCCTAATTTTTAACAACAATTGATAGTTTTGGAAGACATACAAATGCAATGGATGAGTTGAATTTATTAATGAGTCCACTTGGGAGATAGGAGTTCATATACTATATATAATATAATATAATGTGGACAAAGAGTGAGTTAACTTGATTCCAAATCCAAACCACTGCCGGACAAAACGCACGGCTGCGAAAGCTTCTTCCGCCGCACAATGCGGTGGCGCTTCCACACATTGGTTTCTCTGCGTTTTTCAGTCTTCCTCTCAAATTCAAACCCAATTAATCCTTAGAAAAAAATTGACCCTTTTGGCTTGGAGTCCTCCATTGTATTTTCTCTCAATTTTTTTTTAAAAAAATAATAAGTTATTATGAATTAAAGCGCAATTTACTGTATATATAAATAAGTCATCCACTATGTANGTGCACGTAAGGCCGGTTCTCAATGGCCTCTTCGGATCCATGACATATGTACACAAAGTAGCTTCCTCCGATGTCATTATGAGATTGTTATTGCTATTAGGAATTTCATGGATGTAGTTCTAATAAAGAAATTTTTGAGGGCCTTTTGAACAACCGAGATTTTTATTTTTGTTTTGTTTTTCTTGATGATTTCCGTTTGTTCTTCTTGGTATTATGTAACTAAAAACCAAATTTGTAGTGGTTGAGTCTGACATTTGATAATGTAAAAGATCTCAGGTTCAATCCCTTATTATACCCCCTAAAGGTTTTTTATGGANATAATATGACTTGCCCAATATACTCCAGACAAAATCTTTCAGTTTTGTTCTCACTCGCTGGTGATGTTTTGTCTCCATGCACTTTTTACGTAAATGGGACAAAGAGTTTACTGAAGTAAAGAGATAGAGAGAGAGATTACACTGACATCCATGCTCAAATGGACAATTTTTCACTGATTGATGGAATCACTGTTGTGGNGATATTTTTGTGGCAGCCAAGACTAATTCAAGGGAGGTTGGTCAAAACAAAAAAAAAAAGAGAAAGAAAGAAAAAATTGTTGGCAATTTATGACAAATACGAGGTTTTGAATTGAATCTGGTAGGCCATTTCACAGTTAATTTTTTNGAAGTAGCCAACTTCAAATTACCTTATTCCCCTCCATATCGGTTTTACCACCGAGCCGTGTAGTTTAGTGACGCTTAACACCCCGTTAAGGATCTTACTTGACGCCTGCAATGATTACTTTCTAAATTTGATTAATGGAGAATAGACTGTTGAGTTGTTTCTAATGGTAGATGGGGCTAGAGTCTGATCTATGGGTACCTCCATCTAGGTTCCTCCAGAGGACCTTCTTAACGGGTAAGGGCTGTTATGATAACATTATGATGGAGATTTCACATCTAATCGCCCCCAATACCCTTTTTCATCAGGAAAAAAAGAAAAAAGGACCGAGATTTACTAAATGGTTTTTGCAGGATGAAGTGAATGCACATGACAAGATCATCTGATTTCAAAAAGTAGACATGAATGCTGAATCTCTTCCTGCCTAAATAGTTTTTATTTTTGCTGTGTAATTGTGTACTAGTACTACAGTTGCGCCGTTCTTATTCTTTGTTTACTTCTAGCATCATCAACAATATTGTTTCAACTCAGAAGTTTAAAAGAGAGAATAAATACACACGGGAATCAAGCAATTAGAATAGATCAATCTGCATACACCATGATCCTTTATGTCTTGATCTTCCACAAATATTTGAAAAAAAAACATTTGGAAATACCAAAATACCCAAGGTTTAACCCCTAAACCTGCGAAATTCATCAAAACACAATCGTCAAAAAACTGAGAAAAACGTGGGTATTTTGTATTAAATCTAACAAAAAATCAACAAAAAAGAATANGAAATTCATCAAAACACAATCGTCAAAAAACTGAGAAAAACGTGGGTATTTTGTATTAAATCCAACAAAAAATCAACAAAAAAGAATAGAGAGAGAGAGAGAGACTATTCTACATTTCTACTTGTTGTGGAGGGCATCTGGGCAACTGGGTATTGTTCGTTTGTTCTCCTGAAATCCATGTTGAGTGGTATTGTTGAGATCAGGAACTCCTCCATTGAAGTCGTTTTGAAGGAGGGCGTCACCTTCTACTGCATTTTTGTTATCCTTTTTCATGGTTTGGCCTCTCTGTTCTCTTGCCACCATGTCTTCTTGTAACAGACGAAGTGCCACTACTTGGCTGTCACTAAAGACCCATATGTTCAGTACTGAGATGATTAAGAGCAACAACAAAGACGAGTAAATGATTCTTCTGCCGCCGGAAGGTGCCATCGCCGGTTAACAAACGCATAAAAGTTATCCGAATCTGACGAAGTATTACGTCAAGCATGAGCTTAACTATTCTTGCTTCTTACTCTTTGGGCACAAGGGGTCTCTCATGTCGGGCTACTAAATCCACTGTGTTGATTGTTGAAACACACACACAGACTAGTCATGGAAGCCTGGGACCACCTGATGCACAGAGAGAGAAGTCATGGAAGCCTAGGCTGGGACCGAGATGAATTATTTTTTTAATATAAATATTATTGGGACTTAAAAAACAGATTTAATTTATTAATCTACTGANCAAATTTCTATTTTTGAGGGTGCAAGTTGAGATTTTTATCTTTGGGGGTGCACATTAATACAAATTTCTATCTTTTAGTGTGCAAATTGAGATATTTGATTTTTAGGGGTGCAAATTAAAATTTCAACTATCTTTCAAGGTGTAACTTGCTAGAATTAATTAATAAAATTAAGAATGAGACAGATTTGGTAAAACACAAGACCTGGGGGCAGGGTCGTAGGTTGGGTGACCCGCGAATCTCGCTACGGCTTTAAGACGGAATATTGTTGTTGTTATTCACCATATAATAATACATAATCTATAGTACCGAATTTTTTTTTTTTTTTGGGCACCGTAATGCAATTACAAATTTTTTAGTTAATTTTTAAGAGTTATTTTATAATTTTGTAGGGTCATAATATAATTCTTGAAATATTTGATATTATATATTTGATTGAAGTATTTTTTATTTAAATATAATATTTTAAACTTAAGATATTTAAGTATAACACGTTTACAAACTTCAAACAATCTTAGACATTGACGATAAGAGTTTAAGTGTTACTCGCGTACAAACCTTAGAGGGTCTATGTGTAATATTTCAAATGTCAATTCCTACAAGTGATTAAGGGGTGGGGCAGAGAATGAGAATGACCATAATTCTTAGTCCATCCGCAGAGCAAGAGTATAAATTTTTCCAAGAATCCCAAAAAACAGTTATGTTATTCGATCAACAAGCAAAATTGTTAATGGTTGAACTTCAAATGGAGTCCGTTCTTGAGGAATAGGGGATAACAAAACCAAATGCGTGACAAAAACATAGTATGTAAGCACAATATCGATGTCACAATATGAAAGCAAAGCACGATATACTGGACTAATTTCAATGTCAGCATCGGTGTATTATTTTGGAGAGAAACTCAATNCTAATCAATCTCTTTGTTAATAAAAAAATACAACTAAACATGTGTAAATACTCAATAATAATAATTTTTAAGCTCCATTATAAACAACAAAAGAAATTTCTAAAAGAGGCGGAGAGATACCCAAAAAATAACAAACTAGGTACTCTAAAAAGTATAGAATAGATCAATAATTAGATTTAACAATAATTAAAATAAAAATAATTATTTAACATGTAATTTATTATTTAATTTAATTACAAATATAAATTTTGTTTTATAAAAAATTATTATTTAAATATGTTTACATGCAACGCGGGCCTTGCTTTACTAGTTTTAATAAATGTCAATAACCATCAAGTTGAGTAACTTGTGTATTTAAGTAGCAACANAAACATAACGAACAGCATGCAAAATCATTTAGAAGTATAAGGGTTCAGAACAAGAAACATACTTGATTTCAAACTCTTTTATTTTTAACTAGTCCCATAGAATAGGTTCATGAGTAAATTTGAGCCTCCACATGATACCGTACAGAACAATACTAGTTTTTCATCACTCTACAAATAAATTTAACAATTTATCGAGGTCCATATTACAAATGAGGGAGAAACAGTCATTAAACAGAACTGAAAACCTGTATTAAAATGATTTAGAAGGCATAAAATACCATCACCCAGAAGTGGAAGTCATAAGAATCCTCAATTTTAGTCGACCCCTNCCCTCAAAGATAGAAATTTGTATCAATGTGCACCCCCAAAGATAAAAATCTCAATTTTCACCCTCANTCAGAACCTCACCATGATGATACAAAATAGATAATGGTCCAAGCACGATTTCCACCAGGTGCTAAAGGTATTCCAAAACACATGCACTTCGTCACACCCATAAGCAATGATTCACTTGAAAGAAGAAACAAGAAAGCCCCCACTCCATAACCAGTTGCAACATCTGACTTGTAAACACAGTATGTCGCATTGGTATTTTCGTCTTTAAATAGAGTACCCTGCCATGTAGAAAGAGATACAAACATAACGAACAGCATGCAAAATCATTTAGAAGTATAAGGGTTCAGAACAAGAACCATACTTGATTTCAAACTCTTTTATTTTTAACTAGTCCCATAGAATAGGTTCATGAGTAAATTTGAGCCTCCACGTGATACCGTACAGAACAATACTAGTTTTTCATCACTCTACAAATAAATTTAACAATTTATCGAGGTCCATATTACAAATGAGGGAGAAACAGTCATTAAACAGAACTGAAAACCTGTATTAAAATGATTTAGAAGGCATAAAATACCATCACCCAGAAGTGGAAGTCATAAGAATCCTCAATTTTAGTCGACCCCTGTTCCTAATTCTATTTTCTGTTTCTTGTTCAGATTCTGGAAAGGCTACAGTTACAAAAACTCAACTCGAAGTTATGGAATGATACTAAAGGGGCAAACTAAATTAATTCCAGCAACAGTATCTCGCAAGAAGTTGTTTTACAAGATAAGAAATGATTATGCATCATTCCTCACTGGCTTTTGCAGGTCAAACAATTTTAGTTCGTAAGAACATATACTACCTTAAACAATAGATTGAAATTACAGAAGTGTCCCTAAGAAAATTTTTGTTAAAGAATGGACCTCCTGTTTAGATATTTACGATTCTATACCTTGTTAGGGTGCTTCCACAAACTCTAATATTGACCTCAAAAAAGCAAGTGTTATTCTGCTTTTTTCCCAAACTTGACTCAAAACCTGCTTCTTGCCATTAAAATTTAAATTCTCAAATGAAAAAAGAAATCCGCCTTTTACTCCCTCTTGAGTGCAATGAAAAATGAGGGATATGGAAGACATTTGACATATTGTTGGATTCATATGCTGCTTTACAAAATTGAATCCCCAATAGGCCAGCAATGGTAACAATGCCTAATTGTTTCGACAAAATGACCATCAGATAATTTCTTAGCAAATCAAAGTGAGCATAACAATTGAGAGATATTATGGTATTATAATCAGTATTAAAGTTCCAGTAAGAACATATATCTTTGTTAAACCTACAATGCTTCCCTTTCCATTGTGATATATTGCAATTCTTAATACTACTAGTATGACCATCCTATGGACCTCCCTTGTTCAATAGATTATTTCGGAGCAAGGCTTTATGTCTGTTCTAGTCCTCAATCTACATTCAAAAAGTGGATTTGAAGTTGATGTAACCAAAACAAGAAATTTGATGCCCTCTAACTCGCACTCAAAACACCAGGCAATCAAAGCTCTACGATAAGTGGCTCTACACACTACAAGTTACTCAGAAGATCATGATATCATGAAGAAGAAGCAAGGAATGAAGACATTGTAATCTGTCTTGCTTGTTTGAGGAACAGGAAGTGGAACAAGCTCAGAGGAAGGTGGGTGTGCCACAAGGCCCACAACACAATCAAAAGGATTTTCAGGAAAGTAACCATTTAGAAAAAGGGACTGAGCGGCCAACTACATGCGCATCTAGAGCAGATGCTCGGAAGCAAGCTACCTTGACCATCTTCCGAATTTATAAAGAATCTACTGATCAAAGGCTGCAAGGGCGGACCGCCCTACATTCAGCCACACCCCAGTGACCCCCGAAACCATCTTCTTCTAGTTGAAGTACAAAATCCGCCAGCCAATTGCTGGCTCTGAATAACCAGCCCATACACAGACAAGAAATCATCCCAAAGCTTCTCAATTACAACACATTCAAAGCCATTGAACAAAAGATCAAGTGTAAATACAGCTCCAAAACAAAGAACATTTCCAATTTTTACAAAATCCGATAAACAGATACAAAGTAACCAACAAGTTTAATTCATATAACCTCAAGTTCTACTACAAAAGCAAACCCATAACAAATTAATCAAAACTCGTCATCTGGACATCTGGATCTTCTGACCCTAATCTTACAGAACACAAAAACAAGACAAAATAAATCTCAAAAAAATAAAAACTGAGACGAGAGAAACAAAATCAAAGTACCAAAAGGCAACATTCCAATGCGATCTACAAAACCCAAGTTCAATTTTGCTCAACAAGTGTATAAAAGGCTATACATAGATTTATATATACATGTACACATTTTCTTATTTTGACACACACACGCAAAGAGAGAGAGAGAGAGAGAGAGAGAGAGGGAGAGAGGGATTTACAGTGCTTCTACGGCGCTCAGCAGCAATGGAGAACCCAAAAGCAACCAAGCAAAGGACTATCACGAGTAGATGAACAAGTGTTGAGCCCTTTCCTTCGCCCATCTTCATAGAGAGAGAGTGTGGGAATAGAGTGTTCGCTTTTGTTGTTGCTGTTGTTTTTGTACGCAGCAGAGTGGGAAAGCAGTGGAATCTGAGAGCCACGCGGATCTTAAGCAAGTTTGGTTCACGCGGCACTCGTAGCAATCTAGACTAAATGTTTGACTGATGTAATACGCGGCCAAACATAATTGGTTAAAAGTTTACGAGACTTGACTAATTTTTTTAGGGTTAATTGCAAGTTGCACCCCAAAAAATAGTTTGAATCTCAATTTACATTCCTAAAGATTAAAAATCTTAATTTATATCCTCAAAGATAGAAATTTGTATCAATGTGCACCCCCAAAGATAAAAAATCTCAATTTACACCCTCACAGATAGAAATTTGTATCATTGTACACCCCCAAAAATAAAAAATTTTAATTTACACCCTCAAAGATTGAAATTTGTATCAATGTGCATTTAAAACTAAATTGATAAATTATACATAGATCTCCTTATGCTTGTCACTTAATCATTTGAACCCCTTCATGTTTAAAATATTACTCCCACATCTCATGACGTTTATACATGTGTAATACGTAACCCTTTTTCGTTGATGTATATTAATATAACTGTTAAAAAATATAATTTTATCCTAATAAAAAATTATAATTTCATATTATCCTTTATTTTGTGGGTCCGATATATTCTAAAGTTCAAAATAAAATTTACTATTTCAATATCCAATAGAATGTAAAGATTTATATAATATTTTTTTATATCCAATGCAATATATCACTCAATGTACAATCCTTTATTCTATTAGACATTCAAATGATAAACTTGATTTTGAATTTTAGAGTATATTTGACTCATAAATTAAAAGGTAATGTAAAATTATAATTTTTTATTATAATAAAATTATATTTTTTAACGGCTATATTAACAGATATCAACGAAAAGGGGTTACGTGTTACACGTGTACAATCATCATGAGATGTAGGAATAATATTTTAAATGTAAAAAGGTCCAAATGATTAAGTGACAAACAAAAGGGATTTAGGTATAATTTATTAATTTAGTTTTAGGTGTACATTGATATAAATTTCTATCTTTAAGGATGCAAATTGAGATTTTTTATTTTTAAGGGTGCACATTGATACAAATTTCTATCTTTGAGGGGACAAATTGAGATTTTTAAAATTTAGGGGTGCACATTGATACAAATTTTTATTTTTAAGGGTATAAATTAAAATTTTTTATCTTTGAAGATGTAAATTGAAATTTAAATGATTAGTACAATTTACAATTAACCCATTTTTTTATTATGTTACCTCCAAAATTTACCACCGAGTAATTTAACATCTTTATCACTTTTTTTTTTGGTATAAAAAAATTAACTTTTTAAAAATATTTTTATCACTTTTGTGAATATTTTTACCACTATTGTGATAATTATTTTTATTATTTTTTGTTGGTATAAAAAAATTACTATTTTTTAGGTAATTTACTATTTTTATGAGTATTTTTATTATTTTGTAAGTGTTTTTACTATTGTTATAGTAATTATTTTTATCATTTTTTCTGTTTAAAAAAATTTATCACTTTTTTAAATAATTTATTACTTTTGTGGGTATTTTTAATATAATTATAATAATTATTTTTACCACTTTTTTCAATATTACAACAATAGTAAAAATGCGCAGAACATTGATAAAAATACCCATAAATGTGGTAAATATTAGTATAGTAACAAAAATTTTTATTTTATTGATACCAANTTCAATATTACAACAACAGTAAAAATACGCAGAACATTGATAAAAATACCCATAAATGTGGTAAATATTAGTATAGTAACAAAATTTTTTATTTTATTGATACCAAAAAAAAAATTCAATACCATAGACAACTCTTTTACTAAGTATCTCCGCATCCAACAAATTTTATAAATTTTGTGGATTGAAATATATAAAATTTTAAACTTGTTTATCACAAAAAAAAAAAAAATTGTCTCGTATTATAGAATTTATGTTTTAATTTTCGGAATATTTAAGATTGATCCAAAAAATTATAAATAACTTTTAAATGTTATAAATGATCTCCAAAAATTATAAATAATCCTTAAAATTTATAAATAACTCTCATAATTTTTTTTTAAAAAAAACACAACTTATAAATGACGATAAAGTTAAAAAAAAAAAATCGGTACCGTATTTTCCTACTGGTCCGAACCTTCATGGAGTAGAGCGACGTTAGAAAGTGGGCGTCCTCAGTTTAATGTGGTGGGGACACACTGGATTGACTAATAGCAATATAGTATGGCCTTTATTCTTTCCTTTCCTCGTTATCCTTTTTCCTTTTTCCTTTTTTCTCCTCAAAGTCTCTTTTAGAGCCCACCCACTCATTGCAGCCAACACTGCCCGTGAATCAAATTTTAATTTGATTTGAATTCCAATTTGATAATTGGAATTATTTTTTTAAACTTTCGTTTCACAACGTCGTCAATTTTTTTTTATTTTTCAAAAAATTAAAAATAGAAATATTTTTTGTTTTATTTTGTGGTAAAAAGTTCAAACAAAAAATATGTTTGGTTGTTGTCATGTTTAAAAAAATTATGAAAACTAAAATAGAAAGTATGTTTGATAGACACTTTAATTTATGTCAGATTTAACAGTTTTACATTAATTTTTTACTAAAAAACAAATTAAAACTCATTGTCTCAATACGCTCATCAACTCATCAAATAAGGTACAAATCCAAGTATGAGAATCACACAAGTTATTAAACATATCAATACATTCCATTATTCAACATATAAATAGTCCTATAGTAAGATATTATCACTTGACTAAAGCTCCAACAATTAATACACATACAAAGAAGAGTAGTGCATGATACAATATTAAATTGAAACCATAATAAGTGAGCATCAAAATAGTGATGATGAATGGTGGACAGTGATAATAGTCATGAACGATAGTGACAAAGGGTGGTAATGGAGACAATCAGTGGCAGAGGATGGTGGTGATGGTAGATGATAATGATGAGAGATGGGTCATGGGGTAATGAAGGGTGGTCATGGCAGTGGGTGTCAGTGGTTGTGACAGTAGCCAAAATAGTGGGTTGTGATGGTGACGATGACGACCAGTAAGAGAGGGGTGGTTGCAGTGAGTGGTGACAGTGGTAATAATGAGAGATTGTGGTGAAAGGGGAGGGAGTGGTGGCAGAGGAGGGTGGCGATGAGCATGGTAGCTATAGTAGTGGGTGGTCGTGGAGATAATGGTAATGGAGTGGTAGTGGGTGATGGAAGGTGGTTATGGCAACTGGTGGCGGTGGCAGTGGCAAAAGATAGTGGTGGTAGAGGATGGCAATAGGGGTGGTAATGGTTTTGATAATGGTGCTGGCAGGTGTGTTGAAATAGCAATCTCCAGATTCGTTGATGTCGCATATAATCGAATATAAAAAAAAAAAAATTATGCATCTTAATCTTACAAAGCAGAATTAGAGTTTATCTTTGACAAGCAGAACAACATAAACGAGAACGATGTAGATCAAATAACGACTAAACAAATCTTACGATCTTCTACCATATGTCTTTCACTCCAAAATTTGAATGTAGTGTGAACTGCAATACTCTAAATTTTCTCCCTTGTTCTCTCTTTGCTTCTTCTAAACTTGAATATAAAGGTTATGGCTGGGAGGACCATAAAGTGCATTTATTTATAGGTTGCAATAGAGATCCTAAAGAGAAATAAGGTTGGGCTTCCAATGGGTCTAAAAATCATATGTCCAACTCAAAACAAACATCTTACGGTCCANCCAATGGGTCTAAAAATCATATGTCCAACTCAGAACAAACATCTTACGGTCCATTAATAATAAGTTAATTTACTAAAAATTTATTATTGATTTCTCGGACCTTATCTCAAAATTCTATATTGAGCTTCTCGTTATTATATGCTTAATAATTTTCTCACGTTTAAGATTACAGATGTCCGTTAATTAATTAAATTATTGATAATTATGTTTAATTGACATTTTTTTTTATCCTTGAGATTTTTTCACTCAACTTATTTGTCATGTCAAATAATTAAATTACCTGCAAGGTTTGACATGGACAAAATTTATGAGTTTTCTCAAGTGAACGTTATTAATCCATTTAAATATCAAGACGTAGTTTCATTTAATAATTAATTTTTCCTATACAAATAATATCATCTCTCATTTCACTAAGCACGTTGACTCAAAATATGAATCTCATTCTTTGATGAATTAAAGTAACAATCAATATATGTATGTGTCAATTAAATATCTCAAGATTAAGAGCTTAAACAATTACAACAATCATAAAGTATTTATTTTCTTATTTAGTTAGTAAAAAAAATAATCTCAATAATGATCTTGTTCAATATAAAAAAAATACACAAACTATACTAGTGCAACAATTTGAGACATTAGACAGTCTCATTTAGCCAAGACATACTACGTCAGAAGATTGTGTGTCAAATTCTATCTAAGACAATGAACCTTTATTTATATCGTACAAAGATTCGATAATTTAATTATCTGTGTATAAGTCAAATTTCACACACCAAATTATTTTCAATGTAAAATAAAATACACACATACATATCATATATTTAATACAATGCAAATATTTTAGTCATACAAATTCTCAATAAAATGAAAATTTTTATTAAATAATAAATTGAGTTTCATTACAAAAAAAATAAATTTTTAATATATAACTCTATCAAGGTGATGACAACAGTAATGACAGTAATAGCAGCAGAATAGTGGTAGATGGTGGCAATGGGAGTAGTAATGATTGTAGTAGTGGAGACGGTGGGTGATGATAGTGCTAGCAGCGGTGGTGGGTGATGGGTTTTGACAGTAGTGGTAAAGGTCTAAGTGGTTATGGCGGTGGCAACAGATGGCAGTAACAATTGAGAATTAAAGATATTGTAGATAAAAAAACTTCATGGGTCCAGTGGTAGTAGAGCCACTCCAATTCATGGATCTAATGG